TTGTGTTCCTGACTTTAAAGGGAAAGCTCTCGGTTTTCCCCATTGAGGATGATATTAGCTGCAGGTCTTTCATATATGGCCTTTATGATGTTGAGGTATGTGTCTTCTATCCCTGCTTTCTTGAGGGTTTTTATCAAGAAAGGATGCTGTATTTTGTCAAATACTTTTTTGCATCTATTGAGAGGATCATGTGATTCTTGTCTTTTCTTTTATTAATGTGATGTATTGACTTGTGGATGTTGAACCAGCCCTGAAGCCCAGGAGTAAACCCCACATGATTGTGGTGAATGCTGCTTTTTAATGTATTGTTGAATTCCATTTACTAGTATCTTTTTGAAAATTTTTGCATACATGTTTATCAAGGAGATTAGCCTGTAATTCTCCTTTTTATTGGGGTCTTTGTCTGGTTCTGAAATCCAGTTAATGCTGGTCTCATAGAATGACTGTGGAAGTTTTCTTTCCATTTGTGTTTTTTGAAACAGTTTCAAGAGAATATGTGTTAACTCTTCTTTAAATGTTTTTAGAATGTCCCTTGAAAGCCATCTGGCCCTGGACCCTAGTTTGTTGGGAAATTTTTGATTATTGATTCAATGTCTTTAGTGGTTACGGGTGGTTTAAATTTTCTACTTCTTCCTGTTTTAGTTTTGGTAGTGTGTATGTCTAGGAATTTGTTGATTGCCCAGTTTGTTGGCGTATAATTGCTCATAATATTCTCTTATTATTGTTTGTATTTCTACGGTGCTGGTTGTGATCTCTGCTTTTTTCTTTCTTTTAATTTTATTTATTTTGAGAGAGAGGGAGAGAAGACAGAAGGAGAGAAAGCATTCCAAGCAGGCTCCGCATGATCAGCACAGAGCCTGATGTGGGGCTCGAACTCACAAACTGTGAGATTATGATCTGAGCTGAGATCAAGAGTTGGGCACTTAACCAACTGCATCACCCAGGCACCCCTCTCCTCTTTCATTCATGATTTTGTTTACTTGAGTCCTTTCCTTTTATTCTTGATAAATCTAGCTGAGGGTTTATCGATTTTGTTAATTCTTTCAAAGAAACAGCTCCTGGTTTTGTTGATCTAGTCTACTATTTTTTTTATTTTGATATCATTGATTTCTGCTCTAATCTTTATTATTTCCCTCTTCTGCTGGTTTTGGGCTATATTTGATACTCCTTTTCCAGCTCTTTAGTGTAAGGTTAGGTTGTGTATTTGAGACCTTTCTTCCTTCTTTAGGAAGCCCTGGATTTCTATATTCTTCCATCTTATTACTGCCTTTGCTGCATCCCAAAATTTTTAGATGGTTGTGTTTTCCTTTTCATTGGCTTCCATGTATTTTTTAATTTCCTCTTTAATATTTTGGTTTCATTCTTTAGTAGGATGTTCCTTAATCTCCAAATAGTCATGGTCTTTCCAAATATTTTCTTGTGGTTGATTTCAAGTTTCATAGCATTCTGGTCTGAAAATATGCATGGTATGATATCGATTTTTGTACTTGTTGAGGGCTGATTTGAGATCCAGTATGTGATCTATTTTGGGGAATGTTCCATGTTAACTCAATAGGAATGTGTATTTTACTGCTTTAGGATTAAATGTTCTGAATATATCTGTTAAGTCCATCCAGCCCAGTATGTCATTCAAAGCCATTGTTTCCTTGTTGATTTTCTGTTCAGATGATCTTTCCATTGTGGTAAGTGGAGTGTTAAAGTCCCCTACTATTATGGTATTATTATCAATGAGTTTCTTTACGTTAGTGATTAATTGAGTTTTATATTTGGGGCTTCAAGTTTGGGGCATAAATATTTATAATTGTTAGATCTTCTTGGTGGATAGACCCTTAATTATGATATAATGCCCTTTTACATCTCTTGTTCCGGTCTCTCTTTTAAAATCTAGTTTGTCTGATATAGGAATGGCTACTCTGATTTTCTTTTGACCTCCATTCCATGATAGATGGTTCTCCATCCCCTTACTTTCAATCTACAGATGTCTTTAGGTCTAAAATGAGTCTCTTGTAGTCAGCATAAAGATGGGTCTTTTTTTTTTTTTTAATCCATTCTGATACCCTATGTCTTTTTATTGGATCACTTAGTTCATTTACATTTAGACTGATTATTGAAATTCATGAATTTATTGCCATTGTGTTGCCTGTATATTTGGTGTTTTTGGTGATCTTCTCCGTTCTCTTCTAGTCTTTGCTGCTTTTGGTCTTTTTTGTTGTGTTTTGTCTTTTCTCCACTCAAAGAACGCCTCTTAAAATTTCATGTGGGGCTGGTTTAGTGGTCATGAACTCCTTTATTTTTTGTCTGTCTGGGAAAAGACAAAGAAAAAAAGTTAAAAAATTAAAAATAAAACAAATAAACAAACCACCAAACAGAATGAAACCCAAATGAAGATACATCCAGCTTCCCCTAGAACTGAAACTTTGCAGCACACTATAGTCTGTAAATTAATAAACAGGTGGAAGGGATTTGTGTTGGTTTTCTGGGGGACATGCCTGGAGGGCGCAGGTGGGCTTGGCTTGCTGTAATGTCTCTGTTCTCCTCTTAGTGCCACTGCTTAGCTTACTGAGGTTGATACATGTGTGCACGCTAGAAGTGAAAATGGCTTCAGCCAGCTCCTTTGTCTCTAGCGCAGGAGCCCCATGCCCTCACTGACCCTCAGTCAAGCACCCTTCTTTGTCTCAGGCTCCTGTCTGACCCCTGCCTCGACCCTGTCTGTTCCAAGCTGCCTGCCTGCCAGGTGGCACTTCCCTCCAGAGTTTAATCATAAATGGGGCTGTGTTTCAAAACCCCACACTTCAGAAACCTCCACAGCTTTCTGGGGTACTCTCTGGGGGAGGGTCTCACTGAGCAATGGCCGGATGCTGGCTTGCCCCAGAAAAATGTTCCTGCCATTGTGCAGCAGCAGAGGCCCCGAGTTTATGGCAAAACACAACACACGGCTGGTGCCTGGTTTTGCTGCCCTCTGGTGTCTTTGTTCTAATATCGGTAAATGTGGCCACACCCTGGGGTCTGCTGGGACCTTTCCCTGCAGGGAGCCCATATGGCCTCTACCAAATGGTCTCCAATCAGGGAAACTGCTTCTCCCCATATGATCCTTCAGACCATGCTGCCTGTTCCTGGGATTCACCCGACTTCTTTACCAGAGCACTGCCAGAGGCACTGAGCTTGAAACTTCAGACTCTGAGCTCCACTGTTAATACAGTCTTGGTGGCATTGAAACCCTCCCCTTTCTCTCCATCAATAGTTTTGGGGAACAGCTTTCTTGTTCAATCCCCTGTGAGGGTTTTCACTCTTTCTTTCTCTCTTTCTCTCCAGCTACTTTCAGGGGGAGTGCTTTTCTTGTGTGAGCTCCATGCGCTGCACTTTCCCCTTTTGCTTTCTTTGTCATTTCTCTGTGAAAATGACTCCCTGCCCTCTGTGGCTCTACAGCTTTTCTCTCCCCCAGTTCACTCTCCGCACTATGTACCTGCCAAGTTCACTGGCTCCAATTATACAGGTTCTTGCATTAATCCTCAGATCAATTTCCCTGGTGTTCAAATGGTTCGATGTTGATCTAGCTGCATTTCAGGGACAAGACAAGCTCCGGGTCCCCATACTACTCCACCATCTTACCTCCCCTGTGCAGATATTCCTAAAAGAATGGGGAGGAATTAATGATCACATAGTGGCTCTGTAGGACTGGCATACTCCCAGTAGGGGCAAATTTGCTTGTATATTTATTTCCAGCTGTCAGGTTGGGTCTATATTTACCATGACTTGGCCTCTCTGATGGATTTTCCCTTTAATATTTATTTATTTATTTATTTATTTTTTTTTTTGTTTATTTTTTGGGAGAGAGATATCTTGAGCAGGTGAGGTGCAGAGAGAGAGGGGGAGACACAGAATCCAAAGCAGGATCCAGGCTCCAAGCTGTCAGCACAGAGGTGGATGCAGGGCTCGAACCCACAAACTGTGAGATCATGACCTGAGCCAAAGTTGACTCCTAACTGACTAAGCCACCCAGGAGTACTTCGCCTTTTTTTTCTTTTTTCTCTCTAATGGAGTTGATCAGCACATTTAAGTTAAAAACAAAAACAAAAAAAATCTCAAACTTTGGCTGCATTTATCGCTTATTTGTATTGACAAATCTCAGGTCCTTTGGTGGGGGAACTAATATCTACTGAGATTGTGCCTCCCTCAATTCAATATTTATTGACTCCTACTATATGCCAGGCACTGTCCTGTATAAGCAACAAATACATTAATATCTCTATTTAATAATCCCTGTTAAGGTGAATTCAATTATTTAGAAGTTATGCTGTATGGAAATTGACTATGATAGGATTTAGCCCCCAAAATGAGATATAAAATGGTATATTATATATGATGCAAGCTCAGCTCAGTAAATTTATATACATTCATAAGCAAGAGAAAAGCCCATTTTCTGGTATAAGCTTATATTTGCCTCTTTCTTTATGCTTGCTTATGGAAATCAAATATTTCCCATTGTAGTCATTCCTAAACTAGATTCCAAATGGGAAATTTGAGGGATTGGAGAATTTAGTAGATCATCCTTTTTTGCTTAAAAGTTACTTTCTTTAAAAAGCAAGCCTAAGCTTGGTACAAAACTAATACATGTGCACACACACACAGAGATATTGTCAATGTGTATCAATGTGCAGGATGTGTTTGGGGTCTTTAATACTTTGAGGTCTGGTACATCTGCAAGAAATTCCCAGGAGATAAAGGGGAGGGAGACACATTAGTGAGTGAGCTATTTTACTTTTCTATAAAAACTCTGTCCTGTACAGTTAGATATCTTTTACATTCAGCACAAAGTTCTAGAGATTTCTTTTTTCACTCTGAACACCTGAACACCTCCAGAAAAAACTCCAGCTTGATCTTTTCTTTACAATGTGCCTCAGGATAGGTAGATGAAAAACTTGAAACACTGTAGTAACTCTTAAGTCATTTCTGTTTCTTACTACATCCTGTCTCTTCATCCCACCACATTATTTTCAAAGGATCCCCAAGATGCCATCCCCAGAGGAACCATGCTGGCCATTTTCATCACCACTGTTGCCTACATAGGAGTTGCGATTTGTGTAGGTAAGTTGTATGTCTCTGGTGTCAGAATGCCAGTATTATAAGGAGTCTAGTTATTCTTCATGTCCAGTGGGCTTGCAATGGATCGTAAGTAGAAAGTTTTTTTTTAAGACAACATTTTTATTCCTCTCCTGGGTGCTCTAGGGGTTTGAATGCAATTAAGCTATAATATAGGTGTCTCTGGGTCAGGGCTGAGATAGAGTTAATCAGATTGTTATTCTACCCGAACACAAAGAGAATCCCATTTAGCTCCTCTAGGTGATAATCTTACTGCCAAGAAACCACCACCCCTAGCACCCACCTCCCTCGCCTTGGGAGGCAGGTGAGAAACAGAGCTAGAGAAAAGAAGCCAAAAGCAAAACAAGACAAAAACAAAAAGGCTTAGGAAAGTATGAAAGATATAGAATTGATGACTATATCCCCTCCTTGCACTAACTGTCCCTGATATGGAAATGTCACTGTCACTAGTTGGCAGGAGATCAGAGCAAGACCCAGCTGCCAGCAGTGTGGGTGGCCAGCCCCCACACTGCTCAGTGAGCAGAAAATATGTGGATGCACCTGCTGTTTCTAAGCTGACTTTCATACCACCTGGCGCTGCACCGCACCTCCTTCTGGTTGGGGGTCACCCCCTGCTTCTACCGTAGTAGGAGAGGAAGGAGTGGGGAACATTCAGAGAAGCCAACTCTTTTCTGTGCACACTAGGGAATATAGTTCCTCACTGCAGAAGCCGGGATGACCATTTTACCGAAGGGCACATCCCAGTAGTCCTCTGCTTAAAGGAAATTGGGGAAATGCATTTATCTTACCTTGGCTTCTGGAGAAAAAAGCGACACAGTTAACTTAGATTCTTGCTCCTCTCACTGTCTCCTACTTGAAGAAAGTTGGATAATGTTAGCTATATTGCTGTGGCATTTTCAAGTTTAGTTACTATGTAAAGAGATTTTATTCCAATACTTTAGAAATTGACACATTTTTAAATGACATTGAAATCACCTTATGTTAAATTTCCCAAATGGCTTTCTATCTCACACAAACTAAAAATGAAGGAATGAGTAAAGTTATAGACCTGATTTCAGAGATTCTTCCAGTTTTTGCCTGGGGGAAAAATCTGTTTCTATCTGTTTCCCTGGAGAGGATAGTCATGAGATCTGTAGCCTGTCATTAGTTATGGTCCATGGCTTGGCTTCATTGAAGTATTGGGAGTTGTGTAATGCAGAAGCCAAAATATATGATTCAGAAAAGTCAGCTTAACAAAAGAACAAAGCAAAAAAGGTAAAATCTGGAATGGATAGCTTTGCTTGGTAGCCAGTGTTCATGATTTCGATGGTTTAAGCAGAGGCTGACAGCCCCCTCCCTCAGGCTATATCAACAGGATTCCTGTACTGTTCATTTTCAGTGACTCAGCTTGAAGATTCTATTATTTTTACATCTTTCACACATTCACAGGATATGAATTCCACGGGTAAAATTGAGGATTCCCATTAGTATCTCTCACTGGGACCTCCCTTGAAGTTATTAGGAAGGGATGACAACTTATACTGGCTGGAGCCGGAGGAGCAAAATGAACAGTTTCATTGGTTGGGATTTAGTTTGCAAAATATGTACCCCTCAGGTAGTTCAGGAAAGTTTCTACATATTTCCCACATATATTCATATCTTTCAATAATCCTATCCAAACCGTAGTGGCAGAAATTATAGTTATAAAATTCACAAGGAAAGTCAGTGATTAAAATATCTATCAAGGATCTTTAAAAAGTTCATAACTCTATTTCTAGGAATCTATCCTCGAGAAATATTTTGAAACATGGAAGGAAGTTTTTGTGCACAAAGATCTTCATCATAGAATGTTTATAGTAGGAAACAACAGAAATACCAAATTGTATAAACATAATGGAATACACTGATATTTTATAGAATATTATTTGACCATTAATAGTACCAAGGAAATCTTAATATTTTATCACACTAAACCATGAAATTCTATATAAAGTAGAATTCTATCTATGTTTAAATAATTATGAAAGGACTATCATTAGTTGAAAACAAGAGCTCAGTTCTCTTCATTACCGGAATTCAATAATGCTGCCCCTTGGTTCTCTCACAGATGAGGAAATAAATCCTTCAGTAGCACTAAGCCAGATATATGAATTGGATACATATTGTGTGCAAAGCACTGCCATGTGCATTTCAGAAAATAAGAGAGTTCCAACCCCCAAGTGTCTTACAGAAGCAGGTGAGAGCTTGGACTTAAAGCACCCAATGGCAGCTTGTTAGAGACAGGGGGCGCTCTGAGGATGGGAACCTCCAGGTAACCGTGTCCCAGAATGACAAGACAGGATGGCAATGGACCTGCTCAGACTCAAAGTAAACTATGATTTCAGCCGAAAACCCTACGGGGGCAGAACTCTTATAAAGCAATGACGAGCCATGGTTGTTTCCCCAGGGGCCTGTGTGGTCCGAGACGCCACCGGAAGCATGAATGACACCATCATTTCTGGGATGAACTGCAATGGTTCAGCCGCCTGTGGGTTGGGCTATGACTTCTCGAGATGTCGGCACGAACCATGTCAATATGGGCTGATGAACAATTTCCAGGTTTGACGGTCAAAATACAAACAAACAAATGTTGATTGCTATTTTTGTAGACTGTCATGTGGAGTATAATGAGACTTCTGACTTTGCAAATGATTGATTGTTGATCCATTTGAATTCAGCAAGGAACCATTTGTGCGTGAGGGAAGGGAACCCTATAGGCATTATGTGATGGCAAATCCTGCAGTTATGTTGACGGTGGTGAGGAGAAAGTGGCCTTTATATGAATTGCATCACCAGAGAAAGATTACCACCTGACATTATGCATCTTCCAATCAACTGTGAAAGATTTCATGGCCGGGAGAAGGAGAGACTTAGATAGTTAGCACTTGGCATGCACTTCATGTATGGGCTTCCATTTAGGAAAGGACCCCGATGTGGTCTTGGAGTGTCTGGAAAACAAGGCCAAGAGAGAAATTGTGAGTGGCAGAAGGGGAGGTAAATGAGGGGGAAGGAACAAGGGAAGTTGGGAAAGCTGCAGAACTTGAAACATCAATTTGTCTGTATGACTGGTGACCGGAGGGAGAGGCAAATTTGTCGTGAAGGCTTCATTCATCCATTTAAACAACCAACAAAGAGAAATTAACTCAGCTGAAGTCATTATTCCAAAATATGCCTTAAATTGATAGAATCTCATCATGTCTCAGATATAAAATTATATTTAATGAGCACAGAGAAAGCAAAGGTTTCAAAAGCCTCTATGTGCTCGAAGGACGAGAAAGTCTAAAGCTTTTCAGAAGACCAATAAACAACTGAGCCCTCCCCAAAACTTATTAAAATACCACTTTCTGCTGGATAGGATATCCCATCATCAAGGAAACATATGCCCACAAAAGACAGGGGTAATGTTCTCAAAGTCCTTGAAATCCTTTCCTTTTTTATTCTTTCCAGTATCTTCTGAATGTATTGTGGTGAGCATTTCTTATTATTATAAACGATGACAAAAAATGGCCATGACCATTTTGAAAAACAAATATTAAGAAACTTGAGAATGAAACGGGGGGGCGCACTCTGGTTAGCAAGTAACTTATAAAGGAGTTTCCAAATCACAGAAAGTGGAAGCGGAAGCATTTGAATAAAATTTTGACTTTCTTTTTTAATCGTGTGATGCATGAGTCTCCTTACTGGAACCTCTTTTCTCAAGGTCATGAGCATGGTGTCAGGGTTCGGCCCCCTCATCACTGCTGGCATCTTTTCTGCAACGCTGTCCTCAGCCTTGGCCTCCCTCGTCAGCGCACCCAAAGTGTTCCAGGTGACACGTGCACAAGAGCACATGCCTCTCCCTTTGTCTGTTTCCACTGAACATGGATCAAGCTGAAATACTCCTTCTCGCCAGCAATCATCTTCCATCATTTTCTGAAACAGTTTAACGTTTGCATCTGGCTCAAATGCTGTCTGCCACATAGTCAAGATCGATTCAAATAATATAAAGAATGATAAACTGCTGTGTTAACTTGTGCCTATATCGTGTACCACTTCATCTTTCCCCAAATCTTCTTGTTTGAATCACCTAGGGAAGATGACTGTGCATAGATATAAATGACGAATCTCTTCTTTTCCATTAGGCGCTGTGCAAGGACAACATCTACAAAGCCCTGCAGTTCTTTGCAAAGGGATACGGGAAAAACAATGAACCCCTGAGAGGATACATTCTCACTTTTGTTATAGCCATGGCGTTCATTCTTATTGGTGCGTAGTTTTCTCTTGCTTCCTGAAAGCCAGGGAATTCTTCGGATTACTGATAGGGTTTTCCTTTCAGCTTAACAAATTGCCTGTTTTATGTTTAATGTCCCAATTGAGAACATTGGAGTCTGTCTAACCCAAGGAATCCTTGTGTGTAGAGAGCCTTTGAGGACTTGAGGTAGACTTTGAATCTTTGAATCTGAATTTTGGAAATCCATCCAACTAAACGCAAGTGAATCCTTCCTCCAAGCTCCCTGATATTGTGTAATTCCAGAGTCTTCCCCAGCTATCAGCTATCTCTACAACCCCTGGCTTGGCAGCTAGCAGAAGAAATGAAGTGCCATTTACAAAATATGGTCCATATGTCTGCCCATATCAGAATCAGGATCACATGGGGTTTGTTAATGTGCCGATTTTTGAGACCCAACCCGAGTTGGAATCAGAGTCTCTGGGGATAAGGAATCTGCATGTTTACAATTCCTAAGGAGGTTTGTAGACCACTAAGGTTTAAGAACCATGTACCCAGACTCGAATCTCGGCTTCTTCTCCTAAGCAACACAGGAACAGCTGCATAATCCTGGAGAGGCACATTCATCAACTTTGGGCTGCATGTTCCTCATTCCTCCCTAAGGTGCTACCTCTGCTGGTGAGCATATCAGAGGAAATGAAGAAAAAAGCAAGACCATGATAACTCTGCCTAGAAGGGCAGAGCCTTCCTCGGCACAGTGGCCCTAAACAATAAAGCCTCCTCATCCTCACATAAACTCGGGAAGTGACTGTAATTCCTGAATTCTGATAAGATTTCTACAAGATTGAAGAGGTGGAAAATATGACTGTCTGTGTGTGTTAGATTTTTAAAAGATTAAATAAAAAGCGATTATTTACAGAATAGTTTCCATTATAGAACTTAAGCATAAGACCTCAAATCATTGCCCCATAGAACATTTATGTGCTCGAATAGCCTAAGTGTTTAAAAATTGTGTAAATTAAATAATATCCTTAAGCTTCATGGCACAAGCTTCACAGCCGCCATTTTTGCCTATTCCTTGCTGGCGTCTGTGGTCTAGAATCACACCCAACTGCCAGTTGCATTTGCATCACTGAGGTTGATAGATAAATGACAATGTCTCTGAATTATTTCCTATATCATAAGCAAACAATTCAGCTAGGATTAAATCATACTGGATGTTTAGGTACCAGGGTAAAAATTTTCTGGCAAACCTTCAGAGGTAGAACTCCCTAGAAATGTTTAAAAAAAAAGGGGGGGGGGGCTACAAATGACTAGCAAGAGTTTTGAGAGTCAGGAAGAGTAAGTTGGGGATGGAGATTTCCAGCTGGGCATTGCTGGTGCCCTGGTATTTAATCTGTCACACTGCAGAGCTTGGTGACACAGCAGAGAAATAATGCTTGTATCCACAGCAGAGAAAGAAGGTAAGGTTTGGAGCATCAGGAAGACCTACAGGGGAGCTTGTCATCTGCCCAGTCCCCGAACCCTCTACCCACGCCCGCTTGAATGTTTGCTAGATAGAGTTACTGCCTATTGTCTATTTTCTCATTGGTAGGTTTTCTTGTGTCTTACTTTGTGGAAACCCAGGCTAGAATATATTTTTAAATGAATGCAACCCCAAAGAAAAATCACTAGCTTCTTAAACTTTGACAGATGCTAGCTATGTTTTCAATTTCCAAATAAAGTCAAGCTTCTAGGCGGTGACAGCTGTTCAGCCCCTGGTCTCATCACTCATATGTACATGCTCACTTCTGCTTCGTTCACAGCGGAACTGAACACCATCGCCCCCATCATCTCCAACTTTTTCCTGGCCTCATACGCACTTATTAATTTCTCCTGCTTCCATGCCTCTTATGCTAAATCTCCGGGTAAGTTGACTTTTTCGTAACTAAAATAAGCCTAAGAAGGCAGTTAGTTTGTCTCAATAAGATGAAATAAGTCAGTGAAAAGTGCTCAATCTGTGTTTATATATTTCCTTATATCCTAGTGGGCAGCGTAATCCACTTTATTTTGGTGAGTTGGGGGGGGGGGTGGCTTCTGAAATAGAAAAAGAATCATTTGAGCAATGGCCTTTTTGACCAACCGTAAAGTCAATTTTCTCCTGCGGCAATAAATTATTCATTGCAAGAGAAACCACATTTATTTCAGCAGTAGAAAAACACCACTATTTATTTCCAGGGTGAAAGTGACCACAGAAGTGGAATAAATGTATATATTTGAAACTTCCTTACTATCAATTTGTTTCCTGCCCATGGTGCAGAAGAGAAGGATGAGTAGTTCCCATAATTACCTGCTGAGTACAGTCGATGCAGATTCACACTGAAACCAGTGGCGTCCCTGCCCTCCTCCGACTGTGGTTGAAAGCGGTGCAAAATTTCATGCCAAAGAACCTTCCCAGTCTAGTCACCTCTCACCTCTTCTTTGCTTTCATTGGCTATTAGAATTCCTTCTACCTTTCCACCAGAATTGATACTCGTCACTCTTGACCTTCAGAAAGTTCTTCACCATGAGTGCCTTTATCAGGGATGTAAACACATTTCCACTCTATTAGAGCCTGCAGTGGTCTCAAGCTGCCTTTGGAAAACCTGCTGCCAATAAGACAAAATATGGATGGAAGGGGAGCCTTCACCCACACAAAGCCACTAGGCGCCGGAGGGCAACTGAGGAACTTTTGTTTCTGTTGTTTTGTCTTCTTTTAAGCAGGGAACAGAAAGTTCTAGTCAGTGAATACAAGTATAGAAAAGTGTGCCTCCATGCCACGTTGTGGTCATCTTTGAAAAGCAAGGTGAAATCACAGAGGTGGGAGGGGGAAAGGGTGGAAAGGAGGGAGTGAAAGAGGAAGAGAGGACAAGGGAGAGGAAAAAAAAAAACCACAAAGAGACACATGGATACAGAAACCCACAAAATGACACACACACTGCCTCTGCCGCACGCACACACACAGCCAGACTCGGAAAAATAAAAGCATTTCCAGTGATGTTCTCAAAGTGCTATTTCCATCTGGTGGTCATTTCAGAAATTGCTCCCGAAGACCTTGAATGCTCTGTTGTGTTTTGGCAACTCCACCTTTAAAATGTACTTCACCCGTAGACCAAATGCCTTTCAAATCAGAACTTCCTCAGCCTGACCATACTGTCTCCCAGCTTCTTCACTGCAAGCAGCATGGGAAACGCCCATGCATATATGAACCGTGAGAAATATTTTAGCTGTAAAATGTAAAACATTAATGCATCAGGTTCTAAAAGGCATTACAGGAAAGCTTCTCCCTTTTCCCCATAGATTATTATTTCTGAAAGGGCAAGCACTATCCTCTTTACATAATGGAGGTAAAGACAGAGCTAGCAGGAAGTTACTGGCTTGACTTTTGATGAAGCTCTACCTTCTTCACAGCAACAACACAAGCCCGTTGTCTTAACCTCCGCTTTCTGGGGACACCAAGTAGTTTCTCCCCTCCTCCCCCACTAGGCCCCACTCTTTTCATATCTCCTGCCTCCTTTTAACTCCCGATGGCATAGATACCGGAGGCTTAAGGTTTCATAGTTTGGGAAAGCAATTGAGGCTTGCTGGAAATATGAAGAGGCCATGAGTAACATATTTTCTGTATTTATAGCATTCTTATTTGGTATACTTTCATAGGCCAGGGCCCCAAGGTCGCAGAAAACTAATAACAGAATTGGGAACATGACCTAAATGTTCTGATTTTTATGCTAGGAAAAACTGTTGCCTGCATCTAAAAATTTTTTTAAGTTTATTTTTGAGAGAAAAAGAAGGGATCAAGTGGGGAGGGGCAGAGATAGAGGGAGACAGAATCTGAAACAGGCTCTGCACTGTCAGTGCAAAGCTTGACGTGGAGTCCAAACCCATGAACCGTGAGATCATAACCTGAGCCAAAGTCAGACGTTCAACCAACTGAGCCACCCAGGCGCCCCAAGCTTCATTCCAATCATACGTAGTGGTATAAAGTAATAGTGTCAAAGTATTTCTTATGCACTGAGATTTTTTTTTTTTTTTTTTTAGGATGGAGACCTGCATATGGAATTTACAACATGTGGGTATCTCTTTTTGGAGCTGTTTTGTGCTGTGCAGTCATGTTTGTCATCAACTGGTGGGCAGCTGTCATCACCTATGTCATTGAGTTCTTTCTCTATATCTACGTGACTTATAAGAAGCCAGGTAAGATAAGGACTGTATACGAGGGGGTTTTGAAAGCACTCCCTAACTAACCATTCATTCCATAAATGGTTATTTGAATACCTCCTATGTGCTTAGATGTACAATGTGAAGACTGGATATCAAAAATATAGCATAACATAATAGTTAACTATATATATACCATGCACTCATTAAATCCTCACAATGATGCTATATGTTAGGTATCATTAGAGCCATTTTCCAGATGAAGAAACTGAAGTTCAAAGAGCTGACCGTTTGTCAAGGTGACAGGAGAGATGTAGCTGACATTTTAAGTAGAGTATGTGATACCAAACCCCACTATATCAACTTCTAAAAATCCTGATAAATAAGATATAGTCCCTGTCCTCAAGGAGTTCACTGACCCGTCTACAAGCAACTAGCCATAATACAGTATAGTAAGTACCGTGCGACGGCATGAGCAAACTCCTGAGAAAAGGAGAGGGAGCGATTAGAGCTGTCCAGGAAGACTCTTCTGGTTCATGGCTTGCATTCCCAGGGCCAACACTCCGGAGGCGCTTAATAAATATTTGCTGAATGAACAAATCAGATAGAGCCAGGGAAGGTTATTCTGGGCAGAAGGAAAAGCATGAGTGAAGTCAGGAGGCATGCAGGGACATGGCATATGGAGAAGCTTCAAGGCCTGTGACACAGATGGAGTTCTTGGGTGCTGAGAGGAGAAGGGGCGGAAGAGTAGGCTGGGCCGGATAAATAGGAAACATAATGTCACGCTAAGGATTCTGTGAGCAACAAGAAGCTGCCACAGATCATTCAGTTAGATCTGAACTTTGGGTGTTAACTTCTGAATCAGCGAGTAGGGTAGGCTGAAGCTGGGAGAAGCTAGAGACCAGAGTGTGGTACAGAGAGGCCCAGTCTCGGGAGCCAGACAGCCCCCAGCCACCCTCCTAGGTCCCCTACCTGTGCTGCACAAGTAAAGTAGAGAGCCGGTAACTACCTCAGAGGGACTTGTTTGCTGTTTTTCTTTATTACTTTATGCATCAGGCATAACTTACATATGGTAAAATACATCCCCTTTAGATGCACAATCTGTAGGTTTTGACAAATTTGCACAGTCTTGTAACCACCACCACGATCAAGACAGAGGACATTTCCATCATCGCCCCAAGTTCCTTCCCACTCTGATGTACTTGATCTCTTCCTCCCTGACTCAGCCCCTAGCAACCACTGTTCTGATTTTGGTTGCCTTTTCAGAGTATTACATAGAATCATGCAGTATGAGCCTTTGTGTATGTTTCCTCTCACGTAGCAGAATGTTTTTAGATTCATGCACGTTATCGCATGTGTAAGTGGATTGTTCATTTATGTTGAGTAGTATATCGTTGAATGACTGTATCTGAAAAATTTTTTAAAACTGTATGATTTAAAAATTTTAAAAATGTAAAAACCACCAGCTGATGGACGTTTGGGTTGTTTCCAGCTTGGGGTGATTATGTGTAAAGCTTTTACAAACATGCGTACACAGGACTTTATGTGGGCCTCTGTTTTCATTTCTCTGGGAGTGGGATATCTAAGAGTGGGATTTCTGATCAGACAGTAAGAGTGAATATATATTTGTTTCATAAGAAACTGCCAAACTGTTTTCTACAGAAGCAGTATCATCTTCTATTCCTACCAGCAAGGGATGAAAGTCCTCGTTGCTCCACATCCTTGTCAGCACTTAGTATTGTCAGTTGATTTAAAAAAAAAACAAACAACAACTATTCTCATAGATGTAGAATCCCATCATTTTGCTTTGCTTTGCATTTTCCTAATGACTAACGATGTTGAACATCTTATTTGCCATCCGTATATCTTCTTCAGTCAAATGCCTCTTTAAATCTTGTGCCCATTTTTTTGAGTATCTAAGTTTTCTTTTCTTAATATTCAGTTGTGAGAGTTCTTTATATATTCCAGATGCAAATCCTTTAGCGGTACGTGTTCTGCAGATATTTTCTACAGGGCTACGACTTGCCTTTCCACTTTCCTTACGGTTTGTTTTGAAGAATAGACATTCTTAATTTCTTTTTTTTTTTTTAATGTTTGTTTATTTATTTTTGAGAGAGAGCGCACAAGCCAGGGAGGGGCAGAGGGAGAGAGGGGGAGATAGAGAATCTGAAGCAGGTTCTGTGCTGTCAGCATGGAGCCTGATTCCAAAGTCTAGTCCACTCCCTGCTTTTAACCAAATCACCTTACCTTTTTGTTTTAATTTCTTTAATGTTTATTTCTTTTTGAGACGCAGAGTACTAGCAGGGGAGAGGCAGAGAGAGAGAAAGACACAGAATCCAAAGCAGGCTCCAGGCTCTGAGCTGTCAGCCCAGACCCTGACACAGGGCTCGAATGCGCTAACTATGAGATCATGACCTGAGCCAAAGTTGGACACCTAACTGACTAAGCCACCCAGACACCCCTCTTTATTTCTATAAAGTCTAGTTTATCATTTTTGCTTTTATGATTTGGCTTTTTGCCTCTAATCTAAAATAGCTTTCCCTCATCTAAGGTCACAAACTTCTAAAAATTTTAATGCTTCAGATCTTAAATCTATGTCCAGTATCCAGTTTGAGTTAATTCCTCACATGTTGTAAGGAATGGTTCAAGGTTCACTTTTTACTTACAAATATCCAGTTGACTAGTAGGATTTTTATAAGAACAAAGTAACCTTATGTTTGCTAAACACGTGGTGCATAACCAATACTAAGTCAATATTAATCTTTTTTTCTCTCTAGAGAATTATTCCCCACCATCTCCCTGCCTTTTCCAAGCAGGACTAGGGAGATGACTCTGTCCCGCCATCTGGAGTGAACCTACACTCCCAATCAGGGCTACCTCTTAAAAGTTTAGAGGTCCCATCTAATATTTAATTTATTATTTTTTTAAAATGGTAGGAGATGGTAGTGCTTACCGCCCTTATTACGAAGATTAGGTCCTAAAAGATAAAACTAAAATGCTTAAAACGCTTGCTAAACTCTCTTTATGGATACCCAAAAAGAAGAATCCCTGAGCTGTTAGCTTTACTATTCAAACGATGAAGATTGCTGCACACGATCTGTGCTTACAAAAATGCCTCTTTTCCTTTCAGTTCAAGAATTTGTGAAGACCTTTTGAATTTACTCAGGGGCTAACCATTATTCCAAGTCTATCCACTTGCATTGTGGTTATCACATAGCCTCTCTTACCAAGCAAAGTTTCTGGGGCCGAATCTTTAAAGTCTGATTTAGCTGGAAAGAGAGATCTCACTTCTAAGAATTCATAAAGTGTGCATAAAAGGACACAATGCTCTCTCTAGAAAATACTACAGTGTTTTCTCTAATTTGGGCACTCCTTACTGATAGTATACCCAAGGAAAATCATAGAAGTCAACAGCTTATACAGAGGGAAGGTCAGTACTTTTAATGCCAAATTCTTCCATTGTCCGCAGATGTGAACTGGGGCTCCTCCACACAGGCTCTTTCTTATGTGAGTGCATTAGACAATGCCCTGGAATTAACGACCGTGGAAGACCATGTGAAAAATTTCAGGTAAAATTAACTTCGCAGGCGTTCTGGTGTCGCTCTACATTAGAAGTGGGTTTCCTTTATGGGAGACCAGTGCACTTAGAGTAGTGATACACACTAGGGGTATATTCTAGGAATAGGCAGTTGTACAAAACTGCCTCATTTTCACGACAGCACCGCTGTGAGCGAGTATTTCTTCTCTTCCACCCTGAGCTATGCCCACTCCCAACTACAAACCTTCATAATGCTGGGCGTCACCTTCCATGCACAGAAATAGAGAGGTGATCTAAGGGTGTGATTTCATAGAGATATTCCCAAATCCCCAAAACCTTAATCATTGGTGCTGTCTTCATGCAGCTTAAGGCTTTGGGACTTATTGAATTTTCTTAGGAAAAGTAACATTTTATTTTATTTATTTATTTTTATTTTTTTAATGTTTGTTTATTTTTGAGAGAGATAGAGTGTGAGTGGGGAGGGACAAAGAGAGGGGGAGACACAGAGTCTGAAGCAGGCTCTAGGCTCTGAGCTGTCAGCACAGAGCCTGACGTGGGGCTTGAACTCACAAGCTGTGAGGTTATGACCTGAGCCGGTCGGACACCTAACGAACTGAGCAACCCAGGTGCCCCAAAGTAACATTTTAAACTCTTCATTAGTTGTATCTTATTTTGAATGCAACCTAAAAAAAATGAGTTTTGCAAAGAAGATGAGGGAAAGCAGCATGAAAAGCAGCATGCTAGCTGGAGAGTAACAGGTTATATTGGAGATTTAGGATAGGGTAGTACATCCTACCTGGGGGTAGTATATCCTAGTGCATCCTGGGGTCCCAGTGCAAGGGGGGGGGGTGCCCATGGAAGGTGTATCCTGGGGTCCCAGTGGAGGGTGCCCATGGAGAGTGCAAAAAACAGAGGAAGGGAAACGCGGAACCCAAGACCACCTTTTTTGGACGTCACATTTTGCCATCACTAATGAACCAAGAATACAAAGATGGCAAGATGAACAGGTAGAATGATACAAGAATTCTGATGAGAAACCCAAAAAATATTCAGGGGAGAGGCCATCCCATTTTGCCAAACTCTCTGTTCCTGCCATTTCCACTGGGGTTGTTCTGGCTCACAGGCATCTTGAAATGGCCAGTTCTCACATTTTCTGTTCTCCGTTTCCAGGCCCCAGTGCATTGTCTTAACAGGGGGGCCCATGACAAGGCCTGCCCTCTTGGACATTACTCACGCCTTTACCAAGAACAGTGGCCTTTGCATCTGCTGTGAAGTTTTTGTGGTAAGAGCCACTTCATCCCAGGAAGGTGCTTTCCCTCCCTGCTCACCTTGTGTTGTTTTAGGCGTGCCAAGTGGGTACAGGCTGTGATAAGAAAATGGCAAGGCAGTTTGGACAAGAGCCCTTTCCCTTGATTCATGGAGCAAGGACTAGCAAGGGCCGTGATCTTGAATTTAAACGAGTGGATAAAAAGTGTTTCAGATTTCATAGGAGACCAACTAAAAGTGATAAATATTTCCAAATGATGGCCTTTGAGACAAGAAAAAGAGAACTGGCTCAGAAATAAAATGAAGGCATTTGGGGTGGTAACTGTCCACAGAAATATGAAAGCATGGAATGAGCCAGAGAGTGCTATTATATAGATTAACTGATGAGGAGAAAACCAGACATAATGTCCTGAAATGACAGCACATAGAATTTAGATTAAATATTTGGATAAAATTGATGACACTACAGATACCTAGGGAATTAAGCCAAGTTTCCCATGGCTTAGATAAACATTCGGAGCTAAATGAGTTCCTTTTTGAGCAGGAATTACGTGGTAGACTAATGAAAACTTACGATGGTTTTCCCAGGAGGTATTAAAAGTAGAAACTAAAAATTGAACCATGATTGTTGACCAGTTACCAGTCTCTAAAGTGAGGAGAAAGCATGAAAATCATAACAAAATGATAAGTCTAAGTTCTTCAGACCAGCCTATCTCTACTTGTGTTCCCCTAACAATCTCACTCACGCCTTCTATCTCTGTCTCTACCTCTAACTCTGTCTGTGTCTCTCTCTCTGACACACACACACACACACACACACACACACACACACACACACCACTCAAAATTCTTAGCTACTTCAATGTATTTTTATAGGGCATATCTATTCCTTGAAGCATTTTCCTACAGTTTTTCTTATTTGATCTATATAACAGCCGAGTGAGGTGGAAAGGAAAAAAGATTCCCTGTTTTCATTTTATTGGTTGGAAAAGTGAGGTTCAAGAAAATTGAATTGTTGCATAGGGTCACATGACAAAGTGGCCGAATCAGGATGTCAGTCCAGGCCACCCGATTGTGCTTTGCGTTACCTCATGAGGAGAAAGCCCTAGCAGACTCCTGTCCCCGGGAGTGCTGTTAGAATCAGGTACCACTACTCAAACTTCTAGGACATGCTAGGGAATAGGGCTGTCAAGAAGCTGTGTAATTCTGGGGCCAGACGGCTGTGCCATGATACAGAGACAAATTTACCGCACGTCATCATGACCAGCACATAGACATCTTTTTATACTAGCAATACTCTAGTACTTGCTAAGTGAAGCAAGTTGGTCACATTCACCTTCCTCTAAGTGTTCATATGCTAGTAACTGAGACAATATAACCCAATGCAATTATCCGGAAGGGGAGCGGAAGGCACCCTACCGACTACATTAGATTGACAGGTTAAGTAATGACCAACTGTGACTCCAGAGGATTTTTAAAAATCTTATCAAGCACCCTTCTCTCATATTATCAACTTTGGTGCCCTGGATTACCGAATTTCATTTTGTTCAATATAATACAGGAGCTGGTTTTGATGGAATAAGCAGTTTGGGGTGTTTCTCTTCTCCAGCAATTTAGAGAAAACTTAGTTTAGCAGGCAATAAAATATCTTGAGGACAGGAAAAATGAACTGAGAGTATAAACAGTCCTATATTGGCAAGGGAGGAAAGGTCTTCTAATAGAGACAAGAGATATTGCTTTTAATTAACCCTTTGCTGCTTTCACTCTAATAAACGAACATGAATGTGGAGTATCATGTGAAGCAGGCACCTATGCCTGTCTCCAGTGACCCTATTGTCTGACAGGTATATTGGACCACATTATATTTCACCGTGCTGGTCTCTCTGAGGAAGGCCTGCGAGTCACGCTCCCAGGCCCTGACTTTCCCTCGGGGACAGAAAATAGTTACTGCATCAGTTAATGACTTTCCAGTTAGTTACTCTCTGTGAGCTCCTGGGGCTGCTGATGTTGTCAGCATTTCTCAACTCTAGACTCAGTCGTTGATCTTCTTTGCAAAGAGACAGACTGAAGGGGACATGGGGGAAGTCAGCATACCATTAGAAAACTTTTTCAAAAGCACTGTTATTGGTGGTTAGGCCAGCCTATGGGGAAGGTCAAATAGGAAAGATGATGTTGAGAGGTGACAACGCAGTTTTTAACTCTGGGAAGCTGATGCTCATGGGCTTTTGAGACACGGTCAGGTTCTGAATCACTGTTTTGCCACCTGTTAGCTGTGAATCCCTTACGTACATAATTTAGTCTTAACGGTGTCTCGATGTTCTCTCTTTCTTTAGAAAATGAGAATAATAATAACAATAATAGCACCTACATTGCAGAATTGTGAGAATTCTATCAGATGAACTTACCAGTGCTCAGCTCAGCGTCTGTCGAATAGTAAATGCTCAATTAATTTTAGTTGTTATTGCTGGTATTGTTATTTTCACCATCATTATTTTTGGTATGCCATAGTTGCCATTTCATTCCAAAAATATATCCCTTTCAGCAAAAACTGGAAGCATCCTTTCTTAGGGAAACCAGATCCAGGCACTGGAGTTTGGGACTTTTTTAAGTATACAACCTGATCATGATAGAACAGTGAGATATGTATTCCCACCGGTTAATCACAGGACAGCAGGCTCTGTGCTCCATCCCTCCACTGGCCTTCAGTTATTTCAGAGCTACCTTGAAATGTGGTTACATACACTACAAGGAAGGAGCAAGGCTCAAAGCTCACTGGTATTTCAGTGCTGGTAGGCCGATGGAAAGCATGTGGCCCCAGCTGCCATTTTCTACAACAGAGGCATTTTTAATTCTTTTTAATGTTTGTTTATTTTTGAGAGAGACAGAGTGTGAACAAGGGAGGGGCAGAGAGAGAGGGAGACACATAATCCCAAGCAGCTCCAGGCTCTGAGTTGTCAGCACGGAGCCAGACACCTGGCTCAAAGTCATGAACTGTGAGATCATGACCTGAGCCGAAGTTGGACGCTCAACCAAAACTGAGCCACCCAGGCGGCCCTACAACAGAAACATATCTGTTTCTGGGCTAGATATCATAGCCCACAAAGCTGCTGGAATTAAATCAAAAGAGTTATTCTTTTTGCTGGGCCCCAAGCCTCCACTGTATTCTTCCAAATATTCAACTAACTCATCGACTCATCCATCAAGGCTCTTCTTCTTGCTTCTTTCCTACCAGCCGTCAGATTTCAGAGGTACCTTCATCAAGACAAATATGGGCATCTCTTTTAAGGAATCCAACTTGGTAACTTAGAATATAGGCTATTCTTCTCCTTTGAATTACCACATGATAAATCATTGACATACTTATATCCAGGAGGCTTTATATTAAACAAAAGTTAATTCTCTTCTTCTTCTTCTGTACTTGATTCTTATCACCATAGAACGTTCAGAGGGAGTCGGACTCTACCTTCTAGTGTCTTCGCATATTGTCAAGCATAGTTTAATTCAGTGGGTTCAGCAACGGGCAAGTATTAAGTCTGGGGTTGTAGTCTCCACTAATTCTACCCTGTGTGCCTGACAAAAAAACACACTGCCTTTCTTTGTCAATTAGTCTCCTCAATTATTCACAAGAGTTACAGAGATAATAGAATCAATCATTATAAGAACCTAGTTTGGATGTATATACCCTTAGTTCTCCTGGTACACTCTGCTCAGTTCTAAAAATCAGATGCTGCCAGCTCACAGTTACCTTCCCTGTGGGAGAAGGCATCATGTGTGCCCAACAGCCACTCACTCATATACTTCTCGGCTTTAGTTCAAAGGCAGGGTATTTTTTATTAAAACACATCAAAGACAAATATACTTTAAAGATGGAAACTTGATCCAATTGATCTGGGATTTAGAATGCAAATCAGATAAAGCCTTTATTGCCCTCCCCCAAATGCAATACTTAGCTCTTTTCTAAATTTTGTTTGTCTTAAAACTGCAAAAGGCTTTCAAGTGTACAGTGGCATCTTTTATTAAGTACATTGTGCTGTTCTGGTGGCTGAAAAATAGAGAGATTTTTTTAGATTGCTTCTATTTTTTATTTCGAAATGAAGAGAAATATTAGGTTGAAGCATCTGAAATCTACATTTTTGTTGGTCAAAATGGTTGAATACAGGCAATTTCATGTGATTAGATTATATAAAATAAAATGACACCCATATTCTACTTCTTTTAATTAATGGCTGTTAACATTTTTGTCACAAATGTTTCTACTCATTTTTAAAATGAAACGAACTGCAGCTTGAGCTGAAGTCCCTATGAAAATCACTTAGCTCATGGCTCTCTCCCTCCCCAGAGGCAATGTTACCTGAGGTGTGCTGATATTCTAGTCATTTCGCATAAGCATGCCAAGATGTAGATCTATTCTGATTAATGTTTGCCTACTCTTTCACATTCTTCAAGCCTTGATTGTCCTGTTCTCTCCTTTCGTGGTAAAGGAGATGACAGATAGCTTTTCACCAGGATCCTTATGTAGATGCCCTTTTAACAAAATTTTACCCTTACTGTTTCCTTTTTTCTTTTTTTTTCCTCTTTAAAATTTAGAAAACAACTTAATAAAACCTAAAGCTCTGTTTGAATTCAAAGACACTCTTCAGGAAACTCAGGGAACACAACCGCCTCCTAACTCTGGCACAGCAGAGGGCAGTTCAAGCACAGATGAGCCAGAGGAAACACAAGTTTTCATTTTTTCTTCTATCTTCAACCTCTTCTTCATGTCAACGTTCACAGCCACCAAGCTGATGCCTTTTTATAGATGCATCTATTATTCTTTAGTCATCGAGTCTCTGCAGTGATGTTCATAAGAGAGTGACATGGCACAATGCAGGAGAAATGAAATGACCTGAGAATGGGCACTAGGCACATGGTGAGATGAAATATGGACCACATCAGAAAGGAAAATTCTCTTTCCCACAGTTCCAACCAGAGCGGCAATAAAAGCAAAGACAGAGCAGTAAGACTCTCAGTGTCTTGAAAAATGAAAGTTGGAAAGAACGTTGCTTTTGGCCCAGATTTCCCTATTTGTTCCTAATGATGTTGGAACTCATTTGCAAATTCTTTTTGTAATATTCATTCATTTGAAGTAGCATCCCATCAACTACTTCTCCAGACTAAATAATCAGAATTTCTTTGCCCTTTCTCAGTCAATGTCGGAGTTATAACATATACAAGATTTTTAGGGCTTCTTTGTTCAAACCCTGAATTAATTTATGCATTCATATTTTGGATCCTAACTGAGCTGATCTCTACAATATTTTAATTGAGTGGTAAAATCATTTTTGTGACTATGACATATTTGAATGTTGAATAATTATATTCCAGTATGTCTTCCCTCTTTGTTAGCTTATTTTTCCTTACTACATTTGGATTGCAGCCTTGCCTCACATTAGTAAGTGTGCGCCAATGATATTATAATCGCTTTTTAGCAAAGAGAGATTCTGTCTGAAATATTTTTATGACTTCTCAATATGGCAAATTTAGGCATTAAAGTAAATCTTTCTGTCACAATTAATGCTTAATCTGGGTTTTTGTAACAATAACAGACATACATTTGACTGTATTTATTTAAATCAATGCCACTTTCCCCAGGGGTCGCAGTCATTGTGGCACAACTCAATATACTGATGGCCCAATGCCTTTTCTAGCTGTTGGTTGTTCTTCTCTTGCATGGATGTTGTTACCATTGAGCTTCTCTGAAAAAAATATTTCTTCTTTCTTTGCAGTTGATGGAGTCTAGAATGCCCAAGGAGAACTAATAGTTCAAAATGTATGGACATTCTAGAACCCTAAGCAGAATTTTATCCATAATGGCGTATCTTTCTACAGTTTAGGTCTTCTGGCTTAATAACTACCCTCCCCGTATCTTTACTTACCCATCATCTTTTAAGGTTCTTGTTTTTTTTAACTGTAAAGTAAGCCATCCAAACGGTTTTGAAACATTTCTTACAAGTCTTCTGAGAAGTTGGCAGGTTCTAGAAAAACATACTAAAGTTAGTACACAAAGAATCTGATTCAATTCAAATAGGATATCAAAATGGAAGTGACCAGAGGTCATCTAGTATTGCATAACAGAAACATAATATGTGCCACATATGTAGTTTAAAGTCTTCTAGTAGCCCTCAAAAAAGTAAAAAGAGACAAGAAAAGTTAAGTTTAACATATTTTATTTAATGTAATGCATCCTAAATATTATTTCAGTATGCACAATATAAATAATATTAATGAGATATTTTGCATTCTTTTTTTCCATCGTAAGGCTTCAAAATCTAGTGTGTATTTTACATTTTCAGCACATCTCAATATGGAATAGATACATTGCAGATGCTTAACAGCAAGTGGGTAAGGGCTATCATATTGGACAGTGAGGAACTAGACAATTCCCTTATTTTTATAAATGTAGGACCCACACAGAGGAAGGGCGCATGACACACCGGGGTGTCAGCCAGTCAGTGCCAGAGCCAGCTCCCTATTCAGCACTCTGTCGTAGAACAAACACAGGGGTAGAAACAGTTCTGGGGCTCCAACAAGACTGTGAGAACTCATTTAGTATTATAAAAAGCATCCAACTTTGAATGAGCACCTACTATATTCCAGACTAGGCACTTTATCATTACTGCTCAAAACAACCTTGCAGGATAGAGATTTTATCCTGTTTTCAGAAAAATATAGCAAAGCTCAGAAATAATTAATTTCTTCCAAATGGCCAAGTTTAGATTTGAAACCACTTCTGCAGACCACAAAGCCTGGTATCTTTTTCATCTGTTCCAAGCCCTTTCTCTCTAATCGGAGACCCTCTAAGACTGTGACTCCAAGCATGGCCTGAGGACCAGCAGCATCTATGTCACCTGAGGGTTGGTTAGAAATGCAGAATCTTAAGCCTCATTCCAGACCTACCCACTGCATTTCATCCAGATCCTGGGTGGCTTGTAAGAAATCTAAGACACTTCAACAACATACCTAATCTGTCCATGACTTGAAAGAATTTCCTAGGGAAGTAGATTCATATCCTATCAGGCACATTATAGATCATCAGAAACACTTTTCAGGGTGATTTGAAACTTGCAAAGAAAAGACTTGGCTTGGACCTTTGAGGAAGAAGACAAAGAATCAGGTTTTTAGTTAAAATGAATTTCCGGAACTCAAATCTTAAAATTGTGTAATGTTTCATCTACCACCATAATACCTGCCTTCTTCTCTCTTAAGCTCCCCTATTCTTCCTGTACCGCAGTATGTGAACTTCTGTTCCCACCAGATTCATTGAGTGAGGGGGGAATCGTAACTTATTTGGATGGGAGTATGTCACCATCACCCAAAGAAAGAGGCAACCCACCATGTTCCGGCTCCCACGAGCTCTGCCCATTTCTTCAGATTGGGGTCTAGCCGAGATTTCCTTAGTTGTCCTAAACATACCTCTTGCTATTGAGTCAGATTGTGTATTTGTCCTAAATTTCTTCAGTCTCATTTTCAGCATTTTCCTCCTGTGCCATGATGCTCTCAGCTCTTCTTTCACTGGCATGAAGCAGTTAATTAAGCAGGTGTTAATGCATCTGGACATTCTGGGTGGAAAGTGAACGATGGGAGCAGCATAGGCCTCCTCCAAGAGGTTGAGTCTGCGTGAACCCTGTTTAGTGAGGTGTTTTTCCCTCTTTCCCACTTCCTAACTCGATGGGGCATTGCTGGCTATTTTTGTCCTTTAGAAAACAACAGCAGTGCAATGGATAATAGCAGGGTTTCTAACCAATATTTCATCGTGTCATACAGGGACCGCGCAAGCTGTGTGTTAAAGAGATGAACAGTGGTATGGCAAAAAAGCAGGCCTGGCTTATCAAGAACAAAATCAAGGCTTTTTATGCTGCAGTAGCAGCAGACTGTTTCAGAGATGGTGTCCGAAGTCTCCTTCAGGTAAGGCTGGCATTGAGGGAAGGAGTACAGAGGCAAAAGACAATTAGCACTCCCTGTTAATGAGGCTCCTGAAAAGAATGGCTCCAGTTAGGCAGCCCAGCATCAGAGATCAATGCAGATGGTTAAGGAATTCATTGTGAATTCCCGAGGAGAGGCAAAACTAAAACAAAAGCAGAGAGGTTCTATTACAATGAACTATGGATGAAACGCTGGAAATGGAAAATGAGGTTGCCTTTGGCCACCAGCATACATTCTGTCCCCACACTTATTGAAATGCAAATTTGTTCTGATGGTTGACGACATTCAGGATCCTATTAAAACTTCAAACTATTTTTGCATCTCATACTGCATATAGCAATGCTCAAGTCTGGCATTCTGCTCCTTTTTTCTTCTGCGAATGGCGTGAGGGCAGGCTGCTAGATTCGACTAAATAAATGCATGGTGATCTGGGCGAAAAATCTCCCTATCCTCCTAAATTATTTCCAGAATGTTGAATAAAATGTAATAATCTCTGTGGCTCAACACCGAAGCCCTCGGTTCTCTTATCTTTTTCTCCCTTATTCTTTCCTCCCCCCCGCCCCCCCGTAATAAGTACACAGAATCTCTCCCGAGTTTTGATCATAATAGAATGGTGAAGTATTCTTAAAATAATCCAAGAGACCCCAAGAAACTGTAGGGCTTGGCTTTCTAATCATTTTGTCTTCAATATGGCTGGAAAGCCTTGATTCTATATGTACCAAATGATGTATTTGCTTTCAGAGTTACCATTTACAGGAATGTCAAAATTCAGGATGATGCCCAGGTGACACCGATGCCTATGCAGGCAGGAAAGAAAAAATAAACTGTACTATTTTGGAGATTAGGACTATCTGGTACACTCCTGTCCCTAATATTCTGGAAGAACTCTTGCAAAGTAGCTGCATATGCCGAGAAACCATTCTGAAAGACCTATTACCCCCAATGAGCATCTTTTCACCTGTTATTAATTTGCTAAACCATGGAAATAGGTGTCACTTTAAGAAGACAATTGTATGTAGTGAGTTACTTTCCAGGAGCCCTAGGGTGAAATATGTTGGGAAGGTTACACATTTAAGCTACAATTAGCATGGAAGATTGGTGAAATAATAAAATTTTCCATAAGGAACAGGTGGTCTGACATGGAATAAGCAGGGAGAGAAAAGACACAGGCACAGGCCTGGAAAACAAGTCTTACATTAATCCAGAAGAAACCATAAAACGTTTGACAATGCAGAAAGCATGTTCGCTTGAACTTCCTTAAAGAAAAGTAGGGTACAAAGGGCAAGATAGGGTGGTATTAAAGGGAAACACTGACCATTATGCCATTTTGGATGAAGCCTCCTTTGCGTCTCAGAATTTATGGTACAAATGACCACATTCCCAAACTGTAGTCACAGAAAAGATCCCCTCCATCCTGCCGTGTATCTGCTGAGCACCAAGCGATGGCTCTAAGGTGCTGTCTGGCCAGCAGGACATTTCTAGGAGAAGCACAACAGATGTGGAGGCAAAGCTTATTTCAGGAACCCTCCACCAATGCCTGTCTCCGCCTACTCACCACTGTCCCATTTCCCGTGCTCTGCTCTGGTCACTGGTTTCACTCTTGCTGTGACCCAGAGTGTTCTTCCTTCACTCCCACTGCGCTCTTTTCCATGCTTGTCAACCTCTAACCGGCCTGCAAGATCCGGAATGAATGTCACCTTTCCTTTGAAGCCATCCATGAAGACGCAGCTGGAATTCAAGTTTTATTCCTTTAGGCTTCCGTAAGAGTTCCTACTGTGTGTGCACTTGAATTATAATTATTTGTGTGTACCTTGCCTCCTTCACCTTATTCCAAGCTCCTTAAAGCAAAGAATATGCTTTACTGCTCTTCCACAGCACCTAACATAACACTTTGCAATTAATAGGTGCTCAATAATATTGCCAAATTAAGTTTAATTAACTGGAAGCCATATCCTGTCATCTAAAGTGGGGGGGGGGGCGGGAGTGAAACCTGATCTGGAAGATGGCTATTAATGATACTGTCAGAAGATTAGGTCCTAGAGACATAGCTCCGTTACTCTTCAATAAATAATAGAAGTACAAGTTTCAGTGATCCTTGTATCTAAGAATTTTCCAAACATGGATTTTATTGCTAATGACATTATGGATAAAACAGGTGGAAATGAGCTTTGAACCACTAAGTTACAACACGCGTGCCAACAGTTAAGCCGACCCTCACTTGATTTTAAATTATTGAACCATTTTAATGAGTGTGTCAGAAGAAATGCAAATGACTGCTAATTTAGAAAAGCTACATTTCTGTCATCTAAAATCCATTTATGGCTGAGATGATTTAGAACTAATCTTTCTATTTTATGCTTGGGTACGGGCATGAAGGACATGCACTAAAATGTAATCTAATCTTCAGAATCTTCAGAACATTACTTCGGTGCTCTTTTGGACATTATTTTTCATTTGCGGTGGTAGTTTCCTGGTGTGGAAAGGCTTGCCCATGTGTTTATCTTCTCTGTTTAGGCCTCGGGCTTAGGAAGAATGAAACCCAACACTCTGGTGATTGGATATAAAAAAAACTGGAGGAAAGCTCCCTTGACAGAGATTGAGAACTATGTGGGAATCATACAGTAAGTGATGGCTTTCAAGACGTGTTCTTGTTTACAAACCACTAACCAGGGCAGTACATAACAGGGGCTGTTGTACCAGGTTAAATTGCCTGAGAAGACGACGTTCCCTGGTACTCTGAATTCTTTACAAAGTGAAAGAAACACTGTCAATAATAGAACTTGAGGAGATCATAGTGTCAGAGGAAGCAGGGTGGAGGAAACTCTGTGTCACAGAAATAGGTGATTATTAAGAGTTGTAGCCTTAAAACCCATTCATAAGATTAAAAGCAAAGTAAGGAAGGAGGTGATCTTTCAAAACACCTGGAATCTTGGATTGGCTGGTGTCTCCCATTCAGCCATTGTCTCCTCTGAGCCCTGGATAAGGAGTTTACTACCCCTGAGCTTCAGATCCCTCTTTGCTGATGTGAGGCTTTCATACGTCAGTGTCTCTGGGTTGCTTTAAGGACAAAAAGTGAGTTTTAAATGGGATGTGACAGACATCCAATATCTACATATTGGAAAAGTCTTGGGACAAAGGTAATAACGATAGTCTTGAAAAGACTAGCAGGCACCAGGCTAATGTCCGTAACACGAATTATCCCATTTAATTCCCACAAGACGAATTTGAAGTAAGTGCTAATACTGTTCCCATTTTGTAAGTAGAGATGCAGACATTAAAAATTAAGTAACATGCAGAAAATGACAGTTGTGACATAGCTGGAATTCCAACCCAGGACTATCCAAATTCAAAGTTTAAGCTCATGACCACAACGCTATGCTGTCTTTAATAGTACACGTATAGCGGAAGTATTGCCTGGCTTGGTTCCTTCTTCTGCATACGTGAAAATGAATTCTATACATACAGAAAGGCTCAGAGTATCCTCAGTGGCCATTCTAGGAAACTGAGCCTTTCTTCCAGTCTTGAAAGTATTTAGCCAAATTTGTCTCAAGGGGGGCAATGTTAGCTATGCTAACAGCCATCTTGTGTCAACAGCTCTGAAAATCGATGTTATTCTGCCTGGAGTCTGGCTTTGCTCTGATTCCATGCAACAGAGTAGAGAATGTGCCCGGAGAAGTCTGGCTGAACTTTGAAAGTCTGTAATACACAGGAACGAAATCTTCACCTCTTCAAAACAAGCACATGTATACACAGTGCTTCTTATACCAGGCTATGTCCTGGCCCCTGCTAGAATGAGCATTGTATTATTATTTGGGGGAGATTTAAGGAACATTATAAAAGCATTCTAGTTGTAGTGTATTGAAAAGAAGTATAAGAATATAATTTTCATCTTCTGAAATTTTTGCGCATTTACTGACCAAACTAATTCACTTAATAGTCCTTCTAATATGGGGAACTTGTGTACTAAATGCATTCTCCTGAATTGTGTTTCCCAGGGGTATAAACCCTGGATGCCACATGTTCCCATGTAACCCCTGGTGTTACCTAAGTTCAGTAGGTTAAGGCTACAGCAGGTGATCAGGGTAGAATTTTACCCTGTTCACCAACCAGCATTTTGATATATTTAGAAACACAGTCAGTTGCTGACCATTCTTGGAAATAGATTAGGTCTGCTCTCTGTTATCCAGATTCTAAAGTAAAATTTCCTCTTTACCACTGGGGAAAGAAGGGGGATGGAGAGGGAAGAAATTTAATCTTCATCTCTGGGAAGAAAAGTGTTGAAGCAAGTAGAAGACATATGTAAACCCTCAGTCATTAAGTGTCCATTAATTAATACAAAATGACCTTCCAACATCTCCTCCATCCCAAACATTCTAGGAATCCAAAGGGACCAAAATAATCAAACCCAGTAATCTTAGACCACGGAGACTTCTGGATTTTATACCAAGTTAATAATTGGTCTTCTTGGTAGTAAAGTTCAGTGTTAAGGTGGCTCAGATTTGTACTAGTATAAAACTTAGCTGACTCAGTAAAGTTAGATGACTTTACTACCACAGCAGTGAGGTCGATATAGAAGGGAAGACCATCATACATCCGTATTGTATTATATTTCCCTTTCTAACTATTTTGTTTGGCTTTGTGAGTTAGAGTAATCCATAGTATTATTGTTAACATGGGGGTATTATTATAATAATATAGAATTTTATCATTTTTCTTTGGATAAGAGATTTTAAATGCTTATAATATTCTTAGGTTTGGCTTAATTTCAATTCAAATCTGTATTGATTTTTATTGGCAGCTATAAAAAATTACCTCAAACTTAGTGGCTTAAAATAACACAAACTTAATAGCCTACAGATGTGTGAGCTGAAAGTCTGACACTAATTCACTGGGCTAAAATCGAGGTGTAGGCTAGGCTGTATTCCCTTCTGGAAGCTCTAGGAGAGAATCCCTAACCTTGCCCTTTCTAGGTTCTAGAGCAGTCCACTGCTGATGGCCCTCTTCCTCCATCTTCAAAACTCTTGATGGGTCATATCACATTGCCTTGACCTCCTCTTCTGCTTCCCAAATGCACTTTAAGGACACTGGTGATTACACTGGACCATCACAGATAATCTAGGTTAATCTCCTCATCTCAAGGTCTTTAAGCTAATCACATCCTCAAAGTCCCTTTTGCCCTCTTAAAGTAACATATTCACAGGTTCCTGGGATTAGAATGTGGATGTCTTTGTTGGGGGGGGGGGGGGGGGGGGATGGTCTAAAACTTTTCTGCCTAGCACAGAACTCAAATATTTTTTGTGGAACCCACTGTGTCCTTTTTACAATCAAGGACAATTAGAAACAAAATTTATCAGGAATTTATTTTGTGGCAACTTTTGCTAGGTCTGTGTTGCTAAGTGAAGATTATTTACGGATTGAATTTTGAATGGCTATTCATATTTCACTGAATTTATTCATATCATTATTTGAAAATTCAAGTTCACTTTGGCTATTAGAATGTGCTTGCCTATGGTAAGACAATCACAAGCTGCATGATTTCTTGCAGAGGGTGACCTGCTATGGAAAGGGTCCTAGGCTTCAGATCCATTTGAAACAGATCCATTTGAGACTGAACAAAGGAATCAAGGAGAAAATTTTTAATGAACTCAAAGTACTAATTGGTTTGCCCCATAATTAGAGCAGAAAGAAAAATATTCTAAAATATTTTTAGAATATTACTTTTCTAATAGAAAGAGAGCCTTTCTTTTCCTTCTAGATAATCTAATTCTATTAGATTGAGTGTAGAGAAGTCACAACAGCCAGCAGCATTGGGTTGTCATGAAAAAGCATTGCTTCAAACAGTCTGCCCACAGTCAATGGTGAAAGTTCCTTACAGGAACTGGAGATATTTTTAACGGGGAACTTGAGGTCAGAAATGTTGTAGGATTATTTCTCCATAAGTAGGGATTTTGCTGATAATTTCAAAGGGTCTTTGCAGCCTGGAAACTCTCTGTTCTAAATATTTCAGTGATTGTTTTGTTTACGTTAGAAAAGACACAATTACTTTAAAAGCATCTAACAAGCTCTTAATCAAAATTCTAGGTGACAGTATTATTTGAATAATTGGTTCCAGAGTAAATGAATTAGTTACCTTTATCCAGAATATATTTTTAAAAGGCATAAAGGGAGAAAAACAAACTAACAGAAAAGGCATCAGCTCTTGACTGTATTCTAAAGTGAATTTTCATAGCTTAGTTATGTTAAAATCTTGTAATTGAGAATCTTAGACTCTCTTACTATTAGTGCAAAAACCTCAGGATTAAAGGAGTCATTTAAATCACTAACCACTTTGCTTCCATTTTCAGTGATGCGTTTGATTTTGAGATTGGTGTGGTCATAGTCAGAATCAGCCAAGGGTTTGACATCTCTCAGGTTCTTCAAGTGCAAGGTATGTACTTTTATTCAAGCCACAAATATATATTGAGCACCTACTCCATGCCTGGTATTTTTCTAAGTGCTGGGGGTAGAGCAGTGTACCATACAGACAAAACCCCCTATTGATGGAGCTTACGTTCCTGTGCTGACCTGAGGTGTATACACTTCCCCAGTGTTTTTGCCATTGCTAACATAAATGGCCTTTGTCCTGCTCAACAGAAATACAGAATAATCCAGGGCAGTAATAAATTATTCTTCTTATCGCAGAACCACAAAGCCAGCATCACTGAAAATAAATACCTTTGGTAAAATAAACTGCTGAATTAATTTCTGCAAGATGTTTGAGAAAATAGAGATTAATTCTTTCCTTGAAAAACCATGTATTTTGTTTTTAAGAGTCTATGGTCTGGTTTACAGCCAACATGGAAATGAGCCTGAATGTACCATGCTGTGCATCACTAATCTAAATCCGAGGCAGAAACACTAATTCAGATTAGTAACTCTGCTTTTTTCCCTCAGAGGATTTGGTATACTTGTTTGTTTGTTTGTTTGTTTGTTTTTTAAATTTTTTAATGTTTGTTTATTTTTGAGAGAGACAGAGTGTGACCAGTGGAGGGGCAGAGAGAGAGGGAGACACAGAATCCAAAGCAGGCTCCACACCCTGAGCTGTCAGCACCGGAGCCCAATGCAGGGCTCAAACTCATGAACCATGAGATCATGACCTGATGTGAAGTTGGACGCTCAACCGCCACCCAGGCACCCCAGTATACTTGTTTAATCTTAAGATGTTAAACATACCCTCTTACGTTTAAACTTAGGTTTATGTTATAACTTATGTTTAAGCTTATGAATGAAATAAAGGACACATCTAAATAGTCATTGAAACAGTAGGTCAGGGCACTAATTCATGGCTTACCTCTTCAGATGAACTTCAAAACAGAGTCCCCTGATGACCACCACTTAAAGAGAAACTTTGTGGGTGTCTCTTGTGTACCAGGCATGGTGTAAATGACAGTGCAAAATGAATTAGTGTGCTAATAAGTATATCAATAGAGTATAAGGGGGAGAGAGAGAGGCATCTTACTCCAAGAGGTCTTTCTGGAGGAAATTACCTTGGATTTGAGATCTAGTGGATGAGTAGAGTTAACTAGGCAATATTGAGTGAGAGAGAAATGAGTTTGGGAAACAGCATTCCTGGCAAAGAGGAGAGCATCAATTAAAGGTGAGAATACACAGGATTATGGAAGAATGGGGTATATGGGTTACCCAAAGTGGATTCAGGTTACTGAAGTAGGAAGTATGAAGCAGATAATAGTTAAACTTGAGCCTGCTGATGTAAGATCCTGATTTTAAAAGCCTCATTTTTCATATTAAAAAGTGTGGAAATACTCTGCAGACAGTGCAGAACCATTGAAGAGATTTAAGTGATGGAGTAATGTGGTCAAATTAGGGTTTACACCTCAAACTCTTTCAGTTACACGGCCAGAATGGAAATAGAGAGACAAAAAGATTTTTGTAATAATCAAAGGCAGAGAAGTAAACAGCCTGAACTAAAGCTAGGGATAGAGAAGAAAGGACAGAGGTACTTTGAAGACACGAAGAGCAGCATTTGGGGGTTGGTTGGATGTGAAAAAAGGAGTGAAAAAGAACCCGTGGATGACTGCATGAATGGTGGTACTGCCTCTGGAAATGGGAAACACAAAGAGAAGAGTGGGTTTAATGAAGTCAATATCCTGGTTCAGTTTTAAACCATCCCCTGTGGGAAATTCTACCAGAAATGTCCAATAGGCAGTTAGACAGTCCTGTTCTTAAAGGAGAAGTGTGAGCTGGAGATGCAGATTTAGGAGATGTTATGGGCTAAATTATGTTCCCCCAGAGTTCTGTGGTGAATTAATTTCTCGGAATGTGACTGTATTTAGAGATAGGATCTTTCAGGAGATAAGTCAGATAAAATAAGATCACTAGGGTGGGCCTTAATCCAATATGACTGGTGTCCTTACGAAAAGAGATGAGGACACAGACAAACCCAGAGGAAAGGAAGAAAACAGCCATCTACAATCCAGGAAGTGAGGATCAGAATGAAACTACCCTGCCAACACCTTTATCTTGGACTTTTTGTCTCCAGAACTATGAGAAAGTAAATGTCTATTGTTTAAACACCCAGTCTGTGGTATGTGTTATGGCAACATGAGTGGACTGATATAGGAGACATCATAGTTCAGGTAAAACTTGAAACAGTGACACTGGAAAATATAATCCAAAGAGTGCATGTAGTCGAGAGCCCTGAGGGACAGGGAAAAAAAAAAAACCCAAAGAAGGAGCAGGAAAGGAGTGCTCAGAAAGATAAAGGCACCAGGAATCTGTGGTGTCAAGCCATGGGAACAGAGTGCTCAAAATAAGAATCATCAGCATTGTCAAATGCAGCAAGAAATACCAGTGATATTGTGAATGAAATGCAATTGACACAGCACAGATCATCTTCGTGAAAATAATATCTGTAGAGTGGTGTTAGCAGAATCTGGGTTGGAATGGGTTGAGGAGAGAATCAGAGATGACTAAGCAGAGAATATGGATGTGGCCCACCACTTTGAGAAATGTGAATGCAAAGGAGAGGAATGAGATTGAGATTTACCAGAGGAAAATCCATCAACCTTAGAATGGAAGAGAGGGTCATGTTTTCAGACTGGGGAAATGGGCCCAAGATAATGGGAGAGATTGAAGATGGAAGTGAAAAAAGGGATTACCCATGGAGTAAGATTCTGAAGGAATAGGAATAGGATGAATCAAGGTAAGGGCATGGATGGAAGAATTGGTCTGAAACAAACAAACAAAAAACCATTTCATCTGCTAAAATTAAAGCAAAAGGGTTGAGGAATGATGATTAGGTATGTAGATTTGTAAGGGTAGAGTGATAAATTGAGGAAGATTGTGCAGAATGGTCTAAATTCTCTTTCAGGGTGGAGCAAGCTCTCTAGTTGCGTCATTTTTCTCTCATGGCATTTAGTCTCCAGGTAGAGGAGGATCAGGATTTTGTTGGATTGATTCAGCAGGAAGGAAAAGCCTGCAAGGGATTTGAGAGTGCCAGTGCCTGATGATCCAGATTCTATTTGGCCATGTGTGATTGTCTCCCTTATAACAGAAGGCAGTGTAAGAGGATTAGGTGAACTTCCTGATGCAGCCATTCCAGTGTATTATAAGGGAAAAGGAGAAAGAAGAAGAAATTGAAGACCAAGCATTTATATAGGATAGAGAACCTATTGTGTGATGTGTATATTCTATGATTATGTATGAAGAGTTTTAAAAGATATAACTGGGAATCTATCCTGTGCAAAATGTAGCAAAGAGTTCTTTGGTGCCTTCAGGCTTCCTTTTTTTTTTTTTTTTTTTTAATTTTTTAAAATGTTTTATTTATTTCTGAGAGAGAGAGAGAGAGCGCATGAGCAGGGGAGGGTCAGAGAGAAGGGAGACACAGAATCTGAAACAGGCTTCAGGCCCCAAGCTAGCTATCAGCACAGAGCCCAATGCAGGGCTCGAACCCACAAACCGTGAGATCATGACCTGAGCCAAAGTCGGACGCCTAACCCACTGAGCCACCCAGGTGCCCTCAGGCTTCCTTTTTAATACCACTATTTTCTTTTATGGATCTTTTATTGCAGAAGGATATACTAATTCTCACTCAGTGTTCGTAATTAATTTATATTTTTTCTAGTAGAACTTAATACATTAGCAGCAATAAGAGCCAACATTTTTTTAAAGTAGGCTCCATGCCTAGCGTGGGGCTTGAACTCACAACCCCGAGATCGAGAGCCTTATGCTCTACTAGGCCAGCCAGGCACTCTGAACCATTTTTAGCATGTTATGCCTCATGTTCAGATATATTATAACATCTGTCATCCCCAAGACCCTTTGAAGAAGGTACTATCTTTGCCCCCCTTGAACAGCTAATAAATTGAGGTTTACCCAAGATTCACAAGGCTAGCAATTGGTAGAGGTGAGATTCAAACCTGTATCTGTTGGAAACTGCCAGTCTACCTTTTAAGAAGGAGATCTAGAGAGGACACTGACTAAGATTACACATTTGCTTTGTATGTTATTTTCATCTCCTCAAGCTGAAAGAGGTGATATAGCTGGAAAATATCACTCCCATCCCTTCCTGCTCCATCCACCAAAAGGCACCATCAATTTAGTCCTGTGAGGCAATACAGCCAGCAAATTTTGTAGTATTTCTGAAAGAATCATGGCAGTGAACTACATACCCTCTTAATTTCCCAAGGGATGTGTCCAATTTATATCAACTTTGATGTTTGAAATATTTCTGCTTCTTAGTCAAGAAAGGGAAATACAGTTGGATGCCAATAAAATAATTATAAGTACCAATTATCTAGGGTAAACAAAAAAGTGTTATACAAATACATGAAGAGCATGCAGAAAAACAACAGCATAATGATAGAAATTAACTTTACGCCACATTTCCATGCATTGTTTTGAAGTTTATGTAATTTATGACACCACCCTCATATTAGATTTTGAATTGGAAGAAATAAGCTTGTGTTTCATTATATTATACTGTAATATAGGGCTTAATAAGAGCCTGATAAATCTTAAGTATTGCATTACACTATGTTAATGATTATCATCATAGCTTTTCCAACACAGGCACCATGGTGTCATCACAGATTATAATTTAAAGGAAATATTAGCAATTCAGAGTGCCCATATACTGTAGTTAATAAAGCAGTGAATAGAAATCAGCTTTATAGGTAATTTACCAGCTAATGACAATTATTTCTATACTGTGTCACAGGCTTATGTGAGGAGAATAACTTTTTTATATAAATAAGATCGATGCTCATAACATTCTAACTTGTACACTGCAGCAACTCATCCAATACTGATGGCTGATAGTTTCTCTTAATAAATTAATTTACTGCCTGACAACACAAAAACTGCAATATTTCATATTGTTCGCTTCCCAGGGGTATTTAGCAAGTTTGCCAACTACAACAAAGAGTC